TTCGAACTTCGTCTGGCAAGCAAATAGTTCCATCCGCCATGTCCAAACGAATTCCAGCTGGCACCATAAAGTCCATTCCTAGTAGCACATCCTGGCCGGCCATGGACCCGACCCACACATTGAAGAAGTATACTAATACACCATTCAACGTTATCTTGATCTTCGTTCGCCCTTCCGTGGTGTAAACTGCTTCTCCAATGCCCACACACTCTTGTTTCTCGCTTGTGTTAATCTGGCAGCCTGCCTTACGAGCAAAGGCGATATCCAAAATAGATATCTCGGCACCAGAATCAAACAGCAGATTCGCACGAATATTGTTAACTTTCCCAGAGGCCTTGGCTTGCTTAAACCACTTTCCTGGGGCATGGTGTTTCCAGTATCCTCTTGACTCTCCCGGCAATAAATCCAATGTCATCATAGTCTCCCCTCGGGAATAAACGTGAGGTATACATGCATTGGCCACAGCAGCAACAGAATTAATGCAAAAGCCCGATGTATTTCCAATCAATTCATCCAACTTATTGACCTTCTCCACGGGGTGTTTCTCCACAAATGCATAAATGCAACAATTAGAACGCTCGGCTCGTACCAGATTCAAACCTGGCGAGCGTTCTAATTTAACATCTTCTCCGCCGCCTCGGGTAGCTGCCCCGCGTGTTTGTTCGGGTTGTACCACTGGCGAATCAGATTGTAGAACTCTTCCATCGGGCATTTGCCGACGTCATGAACCTTGCCACAACCGCGACACACAAACAGGCAGTGGTCAGCTGGGTGACCCTTCTTTCCACAGCACTCGCAAACGAGTCGCTTCCAACAGTCCAGATCCACATGCTTCCTAGATCCACAATGGGTACACTTTGCCACGGGTGACCCTGGAACCACCTTTTGTCCAGTTCCCTCTGCCATGCGTCTACCTCGGTCTGGCTCTGGGTCCTGATGGTCCCGGGGGTCATCTGCGTTCCTCGCCCTACCAGTGTAAGGTTTACTCGCCGCCGCATAAATTCTTCTGAGGTCACCTTCTCCCTCAGACCCACTAGAGCTGGACCCTTGGTCATTTTCACTTTCAGAAGTGGTTCGGATGACTTGGACGGGTCTTCTCAGCTGACTCTTGGTGTGGTCTGGAGTGGTTGGGGCCTTCTGGCGAAACTTGCTGGAACCGAACAAGACCCTTCCTTGACGCGTCTTCGCTCTCTGACGAGCCAGCAGGACTTCCTCCAGGTCGTCTGCATCAGAAAGTCTGAGCAATGTAAGCTGGTCCGCTAATTCTCGATCATCCAAGGTTTCCACGTAATGGTCCACGTGTTCACGCTTTACACTGGGGGGTCCACCCTTAATATCTAGCTTGGCCCTGAGCCCTGCCACGTTCAAACGGTACAGATATTCCAAGGGTGACTCGTCGGTCTTCTTTCTGGTGTGATAATATTGTCGGGCCACCGACACCCCCAAGCCGCAAAATTGTGCTTGGAACTCTCGCAGCAGCAGTTTCCAATCAACGCGCACTGTTCGACCCAGCTGTCGATACCAATTCTGAGCTGGACCTGTGAGCAGGGACCCAAAGATGAGACACTTCTCGCTGTCTGGTGCCTGGTCTCGGAGGAAAGCCGTCTTTACCTTAGTGCTCCAGCTTCTGGCACGATCTTCATCGTGGTCCCTTCCGCTAAATTCCTTCAGATCCGACGAGGCCGATACCCTAATGTGTGGAACAACAGTAGGGGGTCCTCCTGCCGTAGCCGTGGCCACAGTCGCTCGCGCTGAGGTCATCGGGAACGCCAAGTCATCTGGGTCGTATTCATCATGGGTTGACCCCACAGATTCCATGTCCACATCAGGGATATCGCCTAGTGGTCCTAGGCGCTCAATCTGCTGGGAGGACCTGGGGTGAACTGGCCCTTGACCCCTCGTGGTGTGTCCCCTGTCCACTGCAACTTTTGTGGAGCCTTGCTCTTCAAGGAACTTGGTCATCGCCTTATCAAAGTACGACTGGAGCGCGCTAGGGGAAACTGACTCAGCCTTTGTTTCCTGGTCTGTTTTTGTCCCCATCAACCTTGGCTCCACTTTGCACCGGGCTTCCGTCTCCTCCTGTGCTTGGCGCTGGACCCATGGGGTTGCTGTGTCCATATGACCAGCTTCACGAATTCGTGCTTCCAACAACGCTGCACCAGCTGGACCCAGTTGCATTCGGTCCACCGTATCCGTAAGGGCCGACATCATAGATGAGGTGGCCGATTCATATTGAGACCTTGGTGACGATTCACCGAGTGACCCAGCAGGAGAGCCCACACCAGGATCCACTACTCCTCCATCTTGACGGGGTACTTCCTTTGGGGGGAACTCCCCCACTAACGTCTTGAGGTGACCATGCAGGGTCACTAAGGTCTTCTTCAAGGTCTCGAACCCGAAATCGAAGAGGGTCTCAGCAGTAAAGTTCCCAGCAGCCATCCCAGCTTCATGTAGTAGATTCATTACAGCCTTGAGGATCTCCAGGTCTGTGGTCGTGGTGGGAAGAGCCGTTATCGGACCGTGGACCTGGTCCAGAAGCTTGACCTTGAGCGCCTTCATCACCGGGTCCCTTCGAAGAAACTTCTTCAATTTATTCCGATGATAGGCTTCTTCCAAATCTTCTTCTGTCCAGTCCTTACTGGCCGCGCCTTGGCTCTCTCCCGACTCGTCCGTCGTGTCTCCGCCTCTCGGTGCCTTCAACTTGGTATGCTTCTGCTTCTTTTGCTGCTTGTTCTTGGGCACCTTTGGCTCTTGAGTGGTAGGTTGGGAGACTTGTTTCGGGGTCCCTTGTTTTTTTAGCTTTCGCTGTCAAACTTGGGACCCCTGGACCATAATATTGATTATGGCCCATGTTGTCTTCTTCAACGAAGACATAAGGGGGAGGATTTTGTGGTTTTTCTTCATATTCCACCTTGACCTCAATGGCAGAGCTCCTCCCCGGGCTCTGCAGGTCCTCCGATCCTTCTTCCTTCTTGATCACTGGCGATCCGGTTTCCAGTGTCTTGGTTGTCCCTTGGTCTATCTTGACCGATGTCTTTTCTTCTTCGTGGGACTCACGGTGAAATCCTGCGTCTCCCGAAGATCCGGGCACGCGCACCATTGTGGTGGAGTGGATTCTCAAACAACGTAGGAGATCCACAAACACACACAGCGCCGGACTGCCGACTTACGGAGGGGGTACCCCGATACCGTGTCGTATTGGCCTTGGGTCTCACCTTGTGTACCCGTCGGCTTGGCTGGTCTTGCTCCTCGGTTGACGTAGAAGACTTAAACTTGGTCTTTGTATAAGACTTGGACTTGGTGGTCCCCGAGTGGATATACTTCACTTGGGACCGGGTTTCTTGGGCTCAATCGACTTAGTCGAGAGCGATGCACCTGGTACTATGTACCCCTTTGGTGGCTGACTGTTCTTGGTCCTTGGACCCCTTTATATTCTTCCCCGTAGGGAAACCGCTTCCTGTAGCGGGTCGTAGAGTGTTGATACTTACTTGACACCTCAGGCCAATTATCCTGAGGTTCAACTTGCGTTGCTTGAGCCGTCTAACACCTGCTGGACGTCGGGGAGCCAAAGGGTATCCCGCCCGGAAGAGGTGTAGCGACGGAGAAGCTTAGGAGGGGCGCTTAAAGCTGCCACGTGTAATGCAAATTCGAGTGTGTTTATTTATCTTATACTCTGTATGCTTTTCTTGCCTAACCCTAACCCTTTGATCTGGATAGTGCCACGTGCCGACTCTTGGAGGAAGGACTGGCTCCTTGGTACCCTGTACTTTCTGTAATCTTCGATATTTTGTGTACCGGTTCTGCACCCTCGGACATTGGGCCCTGGTACCCCTGGGCCTCGGTACCCTGGGCCCCGGCACCCTGGTACCCCTAGGCCCCGGTACCCTGGTACCCTGGTACCCCTAGGCCCCGGTACCCTGGTACCCTTAGGCCCCTGGGCCCCGGCACCCTGGTACCCCTAGGCCCCGGTACCCTGGTACCCTTAGGCCCCTGGGCCCCGGCACCCTGGTACCCCTAGGCCCCGGTACCCTGGCACCCCTAGGCCCCTGGGCCCTAGTATCCTGGTACCCCTGGGCCCCTGTTACCTGGGGTCCGCATGTTGCCTGGGGTCCACATGTTACCTGGGGTCCACCTGTCACCTGGGTCAACCTGTTGCCTGGGGTCTACCGGTCACCTGGGTCTGGGACCCACCTGTTACCTGGGGTCAACTTAAGCTGTCCTAGCAGCACTGGTCCTTTGGTCTGTAGTGTAGGGCATCCTAGTATCTTCTCCGAACTCGGGACCTTGGACCAGTTCGGGACCCTGGTCACTTCCTGTCACTCATTCAAGAGAGTGATCGAGATCTTTTCCGCCAGTTATTATAATAACTACGAAGGGCCCCCCATTTCTCTGGCACTTCTCCACAATTACTATAATAGTAAATATTATATGCAGACTTTGCTATTGGACGACGTATCGTCTAAACATCTGTGTATGATGTACTTAGTACAGCGTTATCGATTATTGAATCCTAATCGATAAGATACGGTATTACCAATTACCGTATCTTCAACGCTTATACTTAATACCTCTCTAAAGAGAAGTATCATAATGCATTATATGCGATAAAAGGAAACTTCAACCGTAAACTCTCGGAACGACGTTCCAACCGTCGTGTAATTCCGTTACACCCTCAAATATCTACGTAAAATCTCGCTCTGATTGGTCAGACAAACAAGAATGTTTTATTGCTGAAAGGACCATGCAACTTGACTTTGTTGCAGCAGGTGGACAACAATAGTTTCTTTTACACATCCACTACAGACGTGGTACTTAACGGGGAGGTCATAAGTACGTGTGTACTTAGACCTGCCACTTGGGTGAGGTACATCATGTGATCCACCCTTGTGTATCTGATACACATAGTGTATATTCACATTAGAAGGGGATGACGCCCATATCCACCAATCACATCTTCGTATCCACACTATCAGTGTATTCTCAACCCCACAATAATAAGAATGCCAATGGGTGAAGTAACTACCACCACATCTCTCGTCGTGGCCGTCTCCGCCGCTGCTGCCGCTGCTTACATCGTTCAGCGTCAGCAGAAGAAGAAGAAAAGCAAGAAAATAATCAAAGCCCTTCCCTTCCCAACAAAGCGTACACCGCTCAAACGTATCCCACTGGATCAATTGCCTAAACTCAAAAACGATCTGCTGCTTCGTGCACTACGAGGCGATCGTACAGAACGTGTACCCGTGTGGTGTATGCGGCAAGCTGGACGGTGCGTCGTCGTTTAGGCCAATATGGAAATGGATACAAAGTCGCAAAAATCTTACCATTTGTCTGTTTTACGCTTGAATTGGGTTGTTATAGTCATTTGCCGGAATTCCGAGAGCTGCGCAATCAAGGGTATGACTTTTTTACGGTATGTGAGAAGAATGTACTTTTTACTTTATTGAGGTGATGCTTTTGTACTGATTTTGTGTCTGTAGATGTGTGAAGTACCGGAGCTGGCAGTAGAAGTGAGTCTGCAGCCGTTACGACAGTACCATATGGATGCTGTAATCATCTTCTCGGACATTTTAGTCATTCCTCAGGCCATGGGTATGAAGGTTACAATGGTGCCTAATGTGGGACCGGTGCTACCTGATCCGATTCGTACCCCCGAGGATATCAACAAGCTTGATTTGAATCCAAATATTGAGGACAAATTGGGCTACGTGCTGGACGCACTCAATTTGGCTCGACAGGAAATTAAGGGCGAGGTGCCGCTGATTGGTTTTGTAGGTGCTCCTCTTACGCTCATGTGCTATATGATTGAGGGCAGTGGTAGCCGCACCAAGGCGCTGCTCAAGACTTTTTTGTACCAGCAACCAGAGGCAGCTCACAAACTCTTACAGGGCATCACAGATGTCTGTGTGAACTTTTTGCTGGCGCAACAGCGTGCTGGTGCACAGGCGTTACAGGTTTTTGAAACTGTTGGAGCAGAGGTACTAACCCAGGATCACTTTTACGAATTCGTCTTCCCATACCTGGTTCAGATCGCAAACCGTGTGAAGGCCGAGACTGACACACCGATGGTGTGCTTCTGCAAGGGCACGCAGTACGCATACGAAAAGCTTGTGACTACCAAGTATAACTGCATTGGGCTGGACTGGCAGTCGGACCCTGTCGAGGTACGCCGGCTTGCTCATGGTCGCGTCTCACTGCAGGGGAACTTGGACTCGAGTGTGATTTATGCGTCTCCAGACATCATTTATAACGAAGTGAAGAAAATGCTTAAACGCTTTGGCACACAAAAGTATGTGGCCAACCTTGGCCACGGCTGCTTTCCGGACATGGAGCCGGCGCATGTGGATGCTTTCATCAAGGCGGTGCAGGAGATCTCACTCGAGATGAATTCGCGTTAGGACATGGCGTTCTACTTGTGTTGAAATAAAACCAAGGGTGCATTAATCTAGAAGCTTTCTTAGCCATATCTCGAAATCACGTGCCGTTTGGCAACATTCATGGCGAGTAGCAAATGGTCAGATGAATTGACGGAGCTGGATTTGGAACTAACGAAAAGGTGGTAGTGCTCACTGCTGTTGTAGACGTTTAGCGTTGACAAGCGTGATGCAAGAACAAAGGAGCTTAACGTACCAAGGCAGACATTATGAGGTCACAACTTTTGTTCATTTCACCCTGAAGCTTCTTGAGCTGAAAAAACCGTATCGACATGATTAAACACCTCTTGCACTTGATGATAGCTCATATTCGTTGACTTTTCTAAGGCATCTTATGTTTGATAAACTGACTGAGAAGTGCATTATGTGTAACGGAGCCCATAGTCGTCTTCTCCGTTGAGTAATGACATAACCTCTTTGTCCTCCGCAGACAAAGTTGTTGCTTCTACCTTCGGATCTGAATCCCACTGATAAAGTACCTTGCCCACAAAAATGACCAGGAACGCAAATACATCCACGAATACAGAAGGCGGGATCCAGTTTCGCAAACCATCGTGAAGATTTATGATGCCAAAATTGTCAGGGTCCACTTGATACCACGCCAGAACCATGAATGAAGTCACAAATCCCGCAAGCGTGCACCCGTACATGGTTGAAACGCTTGTCAGTCGGATAAGCTGCAGCAGCAGCAGATTTACGACGAGGTTGCTGAAAACATAGAGGATTAAGATTGGAAGACCCATCTGAACGAACACAAGGTTTGTCAATCAACTGATTGAAACCTGGTCACGGTGGCAAACCACACTTACATAGCAGTGATCCGTAGACACCTCGCTCTCGCCTTGGATCAAACACATGAAACCACTTGATTTCTGGTCAAGGTGGAGAAACTATGCATCACCCCAAGCAACGCATCATAAGAACTCATGCAAATAGGAAAACCGCATGTATACCCACGTACTTCGACGTCGAACATGAGCGGAGCGACAAGCAATCCAGCTACAAACTGATTCATCGAAACCCATGCGTTTAGGTAAGACATATTCACTGGCTGGTCACGAATCACGTGTTCTTTATAAAGCATGGACAACGAGCCCGGAATCGCAGCAAAGAGGTAGAAGATACTAACAGAAGAACAGCATTTTGTTGGCTCAAAATGCATTATCATCCTTTCACTTATCCAGAGACTCGCACCTGTTCCAACCGATCTCCTGATCGTCAAAACTTTCGCTGTGAATACTAAGAAACATCATCTCGTCAAAAACTCGATAAATTGTACAGTGTCATGTACCAAACATACTCTTCAATGCAAGGAATCAGCGACAGAATAAGACCGCCCGTGATAGCTAGCATGCCTATAACCTGAGGTCGCGTATATCTGTACAAAAAAGCGCGATTCGATTAGCATGTGGGCATATCAATGCACCAGCTTGTGATGAATGTACCTCACACCGAAAAATGCTGCTGAGATGCAAGCTGATATCGGGATAGATGCCTGCATAAACAAGAGTGTCTCCGTTGGGTCTGTTCGACCACCGGCAATAAACAACATGAGACCCTGTCAAAGAAAGTTGAAATAAAGAAAAGCTGTCAGAGTTGCGATTAGTGTAACTCAAAGCTTCCCATCCTCTCCAATCTTACATGGAGGAGGTCAAGTAGCCCCATGACAAAAAAGTAGAATTTTGGAAATTCCACTCCGTCATCTTCCGCAAGATTCTGAAATAGAAAAACATGACAAAATATAATCCTCAGCATGTTTTTCTCCTCCTTACACCTACAAAAATCTCATTTAACGCACATCGTGCGTTGCCTTGTAACCAACAATACAAAACATTGGAGGAATGTACAGTAATGTCATGAACTGGAACAAAAAGTATCTAACCTCACGTCAAATACGTACGTCAGCTCATACTAATATTATATCTCATACAATTGAAGAGCAATGCAGTATCACGCACCTGTACGACTCCATACGATCCACCATGACCTTGAATAGGAACCGCTCAGATGACATGGCCACCAATAGTAACAGGATAGCACCGAAAGATAGTAGTGACTTGGAATAAATATTGCATATAATTATAAATGTTAGTAGATATTCCTAGAAGATCGCAGATACTTTTGTTTTTTTTCTCCGGTTGAGGAACGTACTTTATGTGAACAAATGTGATAGGACTTGCCAGTCCTGACATCAATACCCAAGTGGATAAAAGGAGGCGTACTAAACGTCATGGTAACGCGGCCCTGGACAGATCTCACTTACTCTACTACTGATTTTGTTATCGTTATCCTTTCGGTATCCGGCTATACTATCGATAATGATTTGAGGTATACCGTACGTTTTTTTCTCATGAGACAAGATACTCTATTCATTTTTGGTCTCGATGATCAAATTCACGGACGAATAGCGTAAGCATTTGAGTACAATTGTCTAACCGTAATTTTTGTGCTAATTACCGAAAGTGCATACATTTCTACACTTTTCGATTAGATTGGAATATTCTCGCTATCTACTGAATCTTTTATCGTGTGTAGTAAGTATTCCACCTCCTATTTTCACGCCATTTCTATCGTATATCTTTCGACAGCAGCTTCAATCGTTGCTGTTATACTTCGCAGCCTATCTTTCGGATGCTTACGCTTCACCAACGCTACCTCATGTCACCTTTGCCTTGCATTTACCCATTGAATTGGAGGCATTATGAGCGTGCTCACCGGTGGTAATTTTCTGTGTGACAGCCTTCTTTTTACTTGTTCTGCATGTAGTCAAAAATCGCATTAAATATAGCCTAGGATACGCAACGAGGCTTCTAGCGAAAGTCCCAGCATAACTAGCATTCCAAGATAGCCTGTTTTCAATTTGATGTTGGAGTTAGCATCACATGCAAGTGTGAAAAGGGTAATATGTCAAACGACGCACCAAATGTTTCGTGTCTCCTTTTCTTCGGATCACCGGTCCCCTTAATATACATAATAAAGCCCATGATGCGCACTACACCGGCCACTGCTGCGACCTTAGGACGGTAGATCCTGTCATTGCATCAAATCAGTCATTAGATATACCACACATAACTTTAGTGCAGGTTCAGTACGCACGAAGAGGTGGCAAGTGTAGCATAGAAGAGCGGAAGGTTTTCCATGATGTTCTGATGTGCGCGTTGCACGCAGTCGATCTCTATGACATTTTTGTCCTTCTTTTCAGTAAGTATTTGTGGGTCCGGGACACTGTACTGCTTCCGGGCTGCACTAACTTTGAAGCCGGCCCACATGCCGACGAGACCGGCGCCAATAACGACGAGTGGAACGTAGCCATGCGCCGGCTGCAGTGTGACATGTACTGCCGTCACCGACATTGACAGAAATGGATATTTGCTGTTCCCGTGCTGAGCTTTGAGCTGATTGAGATGTCAAGAGGCAAATTTTGTTGTGACTAGTAGTCATTGACTACGGGGACCTGCAAGTCTCAATTCCTTTCAGAATCATCGATGATGCAATGCAGCAGACAGATCTTTTACGAAGTTTAATTGTACCGCTATCCTTCGTATCAACACGATGAAACGGACTTATCCTAGAGGCAAAGTACGTGCTCCAGCAGACGATGCGTCGTAAATGTTCGATGAAAAAGAGACTCAGGACATACTGCGGAGTAAGCGTACGATGGAGTTTCACGAAAATTTCATCCTCGAGGGGATTGAAAAACGCCTTAGGATGATTCATAGTTGCAACTGTGAACGGTCATGGAGTCTTCTGTTGGAAACATGTTCCAACAACAATTTACATGATATGCTACTGCTGTGTGCGAGGCTAGACAATCGCTAGCGTGGTTTAGACATGGTGGCCTGATCGTATAGATGATTTTGCTGGGCGGTGCGCCGCGGAATTCTTCCGAAGTTCTGCAGCTGACTTGAACTTACCTATCCTTGTTTCTACAGGCTTCTACTGTATTCTTGTCCGAGCACTTCAACTTGAGTTGCGCGTCGTTCTTGGAACGAAGATTCTGGTCCTCTCTTAATGCGAGTCTTACTCGGACAAATCGAAATGGCGGCCGAGCGTCCTCTTCAAAATCAACTAAAAACGTGTGTGTGTGTTGTCGCTTGTTGGACTGCTGTAAGTTAGAAGCGCAGATTTTGATAGAGCATTGTTCCATGTCAATTTACAAAAACCGATGATGTTGTGGCTTTCGGGGTTGTGTGATGAGAAGAAAAGGTTGCCGGCACGTGCGAACATTAATGTGCTGTGCCGTTTTCCTATCTTGTTATAACGCTCCCAAAGAAGCCGAAAATTAGATAACGGGAGATGTTGCACGCCGCAATTCAGGAGAAATTTGTCTTCGGGAGTATGAGCATCAGTGCCATAATGAAGGTTTGTTGCTGATGTCGTGATGCAATGGCTGTGACCTATAGAGAGAAAGCAAACCTTTTCAGCGAGTCAGGCAATTACTTCATCCAGTGCTCGAAAAGTATTTATTAATGACATCAGGTATGATATTTTCGTTTCTAGTGGTGCTTGCTGCGTTGTGAGTACTGCTCGACGATACAGAGGATTGCGGTGGACAATGCGAGTCAAATAGCAGAAAAAGTAACGTTAAAGGGGTATGTATCGATCCAGGTGGAGATAGTTTCGACACCGCGAACACAATTGATTCACTATTGCACTAGATGTGGCCGAGTGGCGCGATCTTTGGCGAACTGAAGACGCAAAGAAGGAAAGAGCATGATGTTCCACATCGATGCGCATCAACGCAAGCAGCATTTGACTGTCCTGCCAAATCCAGAGGAACTACAGCTCTCTCTGGAGGGCAGCTCCTACTCACTAGTCTTGCGTTGGACCAAAAGGCAACACCAGCATTAGAGGTGGTACCCAGACTCAGACTCAGTGGGTAATTACCCATACCTAGACTCATGGGTTGGGTATGGGTAATTGGCCTCAAATAGCCAGCTTACCCATGGGTACCCATGGGTAAATGTACCAAATTTTTGGGACATACATCAGACACACCTGCTCGTATTGATTTCTAATTGTTTAATGTAGTAATGACTCATTACGCCTTATTTGGTGAAAGTTTACCGCACATATGATGCAAAGCGACTGAAGCCGGTGGCGCAGGCCATGCTAAGCAAACTCAAGAAATATATATCAAGATGGCGTTTTAACAGGATGCAAACTGCTTTGCAACGGTGTTAGATCCAAGATAAAATATTAGCTGGTTCAAAAACCTTGACGAAAGGCCAAAACAATTTTGGGCTCTTGGCCATAGCCCACAAGCAATTGAGTTGCTTTTTGTGGGTGAAGCATACAGTCATCAGAAGTCATAAGAAGAAATCTTGCCTCCGCCACCTGTCAACATTTGTAACGACAAGAGCGATAACGACATGGAGCCAGACGTCTTCGCATTTGCTAAAGGCAGAGTTCTACAAACCGCAGTGAGCAAAGTCGAGGAAAAAACTCAAACTTATTTTTCTCTTTCGCCTGTTCACATACACTAATTGCCATTGGAATGGTGAGCACAGCATCAGCTGCAATTCCCGACACTTGCAAGGATGGCAAGATTTTATCTGGCCATCCCCGCGTCTTCAACTCCGTCTGAGAGAGGTTTCTCTCAAGGTAGAAAGACTTGCAGGTAGAACAGAACTTCGCTTTGCCCTAAAAGCTTGGAGAGGCTTCTGTGCCTCAAAGATTGGATAAGGACACAATGTCACGTTTTTTTGTCGGCAAGGGACTAGATTTTTCCATTGTCAGCGGGTTTCGCTTGAACTTCCCAGTGGGAGACGTAGAGTGAGAATACTTTTATTACCAATTTTCATAATGCTTTTTATCCCTTTCATATTGTTTAATAGTCCGCATATTTATTGCGCGGGTAACATGGTTAATTACCCGCGAGAATGAGTCCAATTCGTGGGTAATGAAATTTGAATGAGTCTGAGTCGTGGGTAAACGCAATTACCCAACCCAGACTCATGGGTACCACCTCTAACCAGCATATTGGTAGGTACCACAGGAACTGGTGGTGCTAGGATCATAATAAACAGCGTCAATACTGCGCTCTTGTTATCGATATTACAAATTGCTATATACAATAATTTTGCAATTCTAATTTGCTTGATAAGCGTGCAAAAAGAAATTGTTCCCCTCATCCAGAAAATAGTTTGTGTCACGGCCTTCCCTACGCAGGGAAAGTATGAGAGGGCGGGGCTCTAATGCACTCCGGATGTCTAATCCTCGGGGACGCTATCGCGACATATAAGTATCGGTCGTGGCTGATCAAAAGAATGAAGTACCGGTACAAATTGAGTGCCGGCACCGGTATTAGTACGGTATTCATTTTGTAACCGACAGACCCTTCCTTCATGCACGTAAATCTGATTTATTGTAGACGCCCCTTAGATACATTCAGATCCCCTTGTTGTACAAAAAGTGGCGAATGGGCTGGCCGTGCCGGTCCAGTCGGGACTGAAACTCCTCTTCAACATTGTCCGCAGAAATGCTGCCCATTTGCGGGAAGAGAGCGACAGCACTTGGCATGGCGCCCCACAGACACAACGTCAATACGACTGTAGAAGATACATACAGTGACACAGTATATCAGTCCAGTATGCTCCGAAACTGGGGTCATGCAAATAAGCTGTAAGACCAAAGGAATGCACGTACCAAGCTCGGCGGCGAGTTTAGGGTACTTGCCGTTGGGCATGATATTGGTTTTCTTCATGACGCCAAACAGATACGGCGGAAGCAGCAAAACTGTTCAAGTAAGAGACAGAGAATCAGTAAAAGCAATTGAAAAAAATCCATACCATCAGAACTTACTGGGCATTGGAAGTGCAATCCGTGTAAGCGCCACTTGACCTAGAGATTGACGTCCAGCAGCAACAGAACGTCCATGAACGTCTCCGTGCTCATCCATGATATCAATGCCCTCTCTGAAGACCACAATCAAAATGAGCACAAAGCTACACAATCCTCAAATGCAGCCGTTCTCCAACGTACTGGAACTCATTGAAACGCATGGAAACCGCATTGAAGGCTCCTGCACTAGCAACAGCAACAAATGGAACCATCTACAATGGAAAAATGCAAAATTAGGGCATGAATTCGTCTGTAAAAGCGATGAGCACTAACCGTTCCCAAGAAAGAGCGCGTGCTTGGAGACAGTCGCTTAGCATTCTGCACCATCTTGCCCAGGCCCACAGCTGTCGTACAAGACACGACCGTAGCCGTTGCGTACGATTCTGGATAGCAATCATACGTTATTGGATGTGATTTGGTGAAAAGGTTAGACTTTATCGGCGAAAACGTACTCAAAATGGTCAAATTGTCCTGCTCACTGCTGGCATTGCGGTTGGCATAGTTGAAGCCGGCACTGTAGCTCTGATTTACCCACTGCCAGAAGATCGTGTTTTTCAACTACAAATCCAACACAATATCAATACCTAAGATTGTAGTCGCAAATGCACCTTGCAGCAGACTTGTGTACCGTAGGCGGTGCGAGCAACATGCCAACACAGATTGGAATGTTCACAGGTACAAATGCCGACAGCCGGAACAAAGCTGGCACCGTGTCGCCTGTCTGAGGATGCACCGCAGCCTCGTATGCTAGGAGTTGCGAGAAGCACAATGTTAGCCTGAATATTGCATTGCCAACGAGCAATCCACCTATTCTCACCCTGGCGAAGATTCCAGAGCTCTACATCATTGAATTGACCAGGGGGGAGTGCGCCATTGCGAAAGTCCTCAAGCGTCTGCTTTGAATGCTGAATTTGTTCCGAGCTCAGGAAAAGCCACCTTCAAACACGAGCACAATTAGCTGGATCTGCTTACAATGAGCCGTACAGCGCTCCACGTACTTTGGTGACACGAGCTCTGCAAATTTATGCCACCGACCGACGTACGTCGATGTGTCGTAACGAGGCGTATCTTGATCATAAAAAAAAACAATCGATCACCAGGTAAGTACTGTCATTGATGAACGTCATGCAAAATGCAACAAGGAAAGAAAGCAACATGCTCGTACCGAGAGAAAATGGAGGCACTTGTTTGTCAGACATATTGGAAATGAGCTCACTCTAGTACTGGTAGTTATTGTAGTGGCTATGATTTCACGAGTGGGAGCGACTGAATTTGGTCTAGACTCCACGCCTTTTCCTGTACACTCAGTGCAATAAAGCCACGTCAGTGAGGGGGATGCTTCTAGCCACCAATTGACAGCTGGTTCCATAGAGCTCACGTTTGGTAGATTTATATTCCATGACATGAGTAGTGTTACATGAAGCCACGAACGTAGATACTTATTAGTGCCATAGTGTTTGCGCTACCATGATTACTTTGCCTGCCAACACGCCGCCGTGACATTCATCAGCTTGTGGCACTAGCCACTAAACGCTCACATCCATCGTCATAATTACTGAGAGAGCTACAAGTTCAAGTGCAAGGACATGCAAGATGACATTGTGAAGATTCTAGCTGATAGAGATATTTTAAATTTGGTCACAGTCGTCTATTTGTTGCATGCGTGAATGCTTTTGCCAACATAAAGTGAAACCGTGGCTTGTACTAGCATGGATACATTACCATGGCTACATAACGCAGCCAGAAGAGAACTTCGTGTTGCTGTTGTTGTAAGTCGAATGTTGCTACAGTAGATGACAAATTTGCCCTTTTCGCGAAAAGTTCTGTATACTTATCAATATCACTTTTGCAGAATAACCCCCGAGAGAGTGCCCAATCCAAAAAAACGGGATCAAAAGAAGTTTCGATTATGACGTCCAGAAATCTCATCCGTCACTCGACGCGTCTCGCATCGGTCACCAGCAACAATAGACGCAATGTCATCTACACCATGTCAGTACTGGACCGTCCGTGCTTTCAAAAATCATCAGCCGCTGCTCAGATTCGCTTTCATAGCATGCAATCAACTGCCTTCAGTAAAGAAGCGGCTCAACAAGAGTTTTCCGCTGACCCAGAGCAGCGTATTCTAACGAAAGCTATAGATCATGTACCAAATCATGGGTACGTGGTTGTTTTACCCTTTCATGACTTTTAGATGTAATTTTTTTTGGCTTAAACCTTTTCTATAGAATACTAATTCTCTTTTCTTGATAATGTACTAGATGGACCATTGAGGCTTTAGCAGCTGGTGCCATGGATCTTGGATACCCTTCAGTGGCTCATGGCATGTTTACGCGTGGACCTGTGGAGCTGGTGGAGTATTTCATGGACTCGTGCCTTGCCAAGCTGCGGAAGACGCTGATTCTTAATACGGACAAGTTACAAGCCATGACTGTGGCTGAACGTCTCAAATTTGGTGTTCGCAATCGTTTGGAGATGCTGATTCCGGTGATTGATTTGTGGCCACAGGGAATGGCGCTTGGTGCACTGCCGCAGAACGCACCCAGCACTGCGAAGAGACTGGCACAGCTGTCAGATGAGATCTGGTACTTTGCTGGTGATAAATCTACGGACTTGTCATGGTACACCAAGCGTGCTGTCCTCACGGCAGTGTATGCTAGCACTGAGTTATTCATGCTAAATGACAAGTCACTGAACTTTGAAGACACGTGGGCATTCCTTGACCGCAGGATTGACGAAACGATTCAACTTGGAGAATTGCCTCAAAACGTACGTGCATCTACTGTAGGCTGCTTCATTGCCGACTATACATAAGATATTGTGGCTTACCGGCTGTATTTCAAACTTTTGTGATTTAGTTGAACGATGTGGTTGGGATGGCCGGCATAGGACTGCAGTCGATGTTGTCGGCTGTAACGTCGCTTACAGGTCCTTTAGTTGGGCAAGTAATCTCTAGCACGCCTTTGAGCCAGGTTCCGAACCCGATTACGGCTATGGGAAGCGTGGTTCCGCCGTCAGTAGTTTCGGCTTTCGCATCGGGACTGCCATTTACCGCCCCGACAGCGTCCGCAGGCGCTGCACCAGAAGTTGATGCCATGGCTTTTAAGCCTAAGGATCTGAAGGAGATTGATGAAGAGCTGGAAAAGCTCGGTTACGTTGACATGAGCGAGAAACGCAGCTAAATAGTAGGATCGAGGGCTTCTCCAGTACCTAATCCCGCCTGCATGAAAAACACAGTGAAGCTACGTGGACGGGGCCATTGGCAAAAACAAAAATGACAGGATCCTGAAGGGTGTTTCTTGCATTTAAATGCTGATTCCATCTAATTAAGTTGCGGTAGTCATACTCGTCTTCAACATCGTCACTGCTGTTTCTGTCATTGCGAGTAGATCTATCGTCGTCTTCGTTAATGTACCCGATAACGTTTGCTTGCTTCATTAAGGCGTTTTAGCTACTGCCCGCTTGCTAGTTGCTGGTGAGGCAAATTGCTTCACGCAACAACAACGACTAGTCCCGACGAGCGCTTTTGTTTGGACCCGAACAAAATCAATTGACTGATGCGATGCGGTTTAAGATTTTGTTGACTCCCTGGCCTGCTAAGACAGCGATTGAGGAGGTTCATGATGTGGTTACGGTGGTGGGTACGCATGCGGAGTCAGCGGTTGAAAGGTACAGAGTATCGCAAGAAACCTGCTCCAGCGGGTTGAACAGTACGGCACTTCATGGATTTTAGCTGCATTTGATGCTATGGTAAGGAAGCAAGGTGCGAAGCACATCACGTACTTCCAGCAGACCCCATCAATTGTGGGTCTTGTTTCGTTAAGGAAATGGTAGTCATTCACGTACAAAGGCTTCAACAAACAATATTGAATAATGTAGGCAGCGATGCTCTTCTGGTCGTAAGAATGAGGGAGTTCCCTCTTTAGTTGAATAGCACAATGATGTCCTAGCTAACCTTATGCATATGTTGTCACATTGAATCGACACCCTCGTGTCTGTAACTTTTATCTTTAATTCTCACCACAGAATTTATAGGAGATATCGACGTAACTTCTACTTATCTGTAGGCCACAATCTATGAATAGCACGGTAGCATATACAATCTAGTACGAAGATATTATGCCACCGAATCCCCGTAGCGTCCGCCGTAAGACGAATGCTATCAAGACAAGATGAGCTTGATGCACACGCGTTAAGAAAATGTTGGAAGGCTTTATGGTCACATGCACACGGGACCTCCAAAAAGGAACGTGCTTGCAACCTCAAACACCGTACAATTAGTATTGCAATGCTTTACGTTTTATGAGCAGCTTCATGCCATGAAAGAGACTGAACACTGAGCGAGCTTGCAGAACACATATGATACGAATCATGAAACTAAGTATCAGCGAAGTGATAAAAGGAACGTTCTCTCAGTAGCGTTTGAATACATTTTTGCTTCCACATCCGTCAGGTGATATCCGAAGATTCCCCAGCTTTCAGTTTTAGCATGGAATTTTTTACATCAAAGAGAACGAAATGAAGCCGACAAGGTAGACTTGTGTTGGGTATCCGAAACAATGGAAGAATGAGCACAATGAAGAATGAATGCATGTTGATTTGACTGGACCACGTTGTCCGCATTAAGCTTCAGTTGAGTAAGCTTCGTATAGCCAATCAGCTCCGACTGGTTTGAGTGGGTATTTAATAATATGTTCTCAATTGTGCGCGACCTTACGCCAATTTGCACAGAAGGGCTTTGTTTTAGCCATAGTTCATGCCGATGTTGCTTAAAAGAAACGCTTGAGCAATAGTAGATGTCGTACATTGACTCATGCATAAATTTAAGAACCCCCATTCCAAGTTTACCGAGTATCCTTTGCGTACTTTTACGCATATCTGTAGCTCGGAATGCATCATGGTACGCAACTTCCCCAGGACCAGTCCAGACACCTGTGCTTCTCCCGCTACTGGCACCGAAAGCAACAAAGTTAGCAGCACGCCTCGGATAGGGAAACGAGCTCGGCTTTCGACCACTCCCGTAACGGCCACTAGCGCTACGAGAAACAACAGTCCCGCGTCATTAGCAATCCGCCCCAAGCTCGAATAGTCTGGCTACAACTCAGAGAGGGAGAGCTGTTGGTGATGATGATACAGATACCAGTCCCTCTCATATGAGGATCTGTACCTTCGTTGGGAGGCGCGAACATAGCAACCTTAGGGTAAACGTCACCGCGAACGCGCTGCGGGAAGCTCAGCGCAGCAGCAGCGCTCTTTCCTAAAGCACAAGTGTCTTGCCAGACAAACCCTTCGAACATGCGGGTGCGCCACTTTATCAAATATCGACTATGTGCGCACCCCAAGCTCGCCGAGAAGTCGATGACCCAATAAAGGAGCCAATGGTGACTAGACGAGAGGGTAAACATTGTTTGCCGTGAGGTGCAGAACATTCGAAGACTCTTTTCCGGGATTTCCAGAAAGTTCTGTCGTGTCGCTTGTGACTCACAAGCGATGGACGAACACTTATAATACTCTTACCGTCTCGACATCATAATGTTCTTTAAAGCCAAGGAGACGACACATTATATTGGTATAAAACCGGTACTCTGATGCTCACTCTAAATTCCATTAAAAACCTTATTTTGCAAATCTATAAAAATCTAACCCTTTCTATGTGGATCTTCAATGTTTACTACAACAAGATATACGTAGTGATTAATATCATTTTCTAAAAAGTTAGCCACTTTTCGTTTAAATATCAGCTACACATGATGATATGTATACTTGATTCGCCTGTAACGAATATCATGTCGACAGGCTCTGAAACTCGTATCATGACAGTCGATATAGTCAAGCGTAGGTTTACACCAGATGCAAAAGTAAATCCTGGAATATTAGTAACCACCTGCGACAAACAATATTGCTTAACCTTGATCACAGTGTAAGGACACTGTAACCTAGATCATAGCTGCGGTGCATGGTTGAGTAAGAAGACTTTCAACGTATCTTGGTTACGGTTGATACCACATTGCAGAGTTTCAATTTATGAGACTCAAAGAATACATGTACTTTTGCATGTGCCAATAAATACACTCTTTGTTTTGAAACGTACCTGTACTTTATTTCTGTGAATCTGCGACCAAATGGCGACGGTGTAAATGTAAGAACTTATTATCTAGCATAGTGAAGTCCACGTCAAATACATAGCTAGGAAGATCTTCCTAACACAATGGTATAGCATACTTGCAGCGTGCCAGACATAATGGAAGGCGGCATGTACCATACAGTAAACGATGTTTCGATGACATCAACATCGTCCAGCTGACCTAACTTGTCGTGCAGCTTTGAAGCGGCAACGTGTGCTGAATGACGACAGGGGGTCACAGATGCAAAAGGGTTGATCGGATGGCACTACCTGGGTATACTATTGTATCGACAATTAGGTGTATACAGCCCGCAAAGTACGGGCGCTGAGAATTTCACGTGTTCTTGCACAGATCTCACAGATCTCAAGAAGGAGCAGGTAACGCTATTAGGGACAGTCGCGATAAGCAGCCGTTTCTCGAGTCACTTGATTCATTGAAGTTGTAACGCAGTGCAAGGCTTGGCACTTGTAAGCTGAAAGATTAGACACCTGATGTATCACCCTTTGACGTTGGAGACAGGGCTCAGGGTTGTGACTGATTGGCGCTACCCAATAAGTCGCTCTGACGTCAGCTTCCAGGAAGACATGGCGTTCACACGAGATCTGATTTTCCTCGCACGCCAAGATCGCTGTCCGCTCCAGAACACTTCTCACCGCTCCGAGCCTGGCTGCGAAGGACGTGGACGACGCGAAAATCGAAGCAAGTGACGGGGATTGAGCGCACGCACGATATGCTGGTCGATTCTGACCAAAATCGCGCCAGTCGACAATAAGCAGTGGCTGGAGTCCCTATTATAGTACGACTCGTCCCGCATTTAGAAAACCGGCTATATTGTTCGAAAGATCCCATGACGATAGTCTTGCACCTAGCTAAATGTAGCACCGTCATCAACTTCGCGCTCCATTGTGTGCATTTCTATCGCAGTACGGGTGACTCCATTGGTCCGTCAATAGTCGCAGCTGACAGCCAGTTGCAACACGCACGTGCGTCTGATTATACGGGGCGTCGCCATTCTTGGTGCAACATGTCCCTGCCGTCTCCCGGCTATGACAGGCTGCTTTGCAGCGCAATCTCGTACGAAAATCTTGTCAGTTCGATCACTGTCTCATGTAATGTTCCAGGAGTTCGCACTGCGTTTCCTTATGCATTGAAGTTGCTGCCAACCGCACTGGCCACTGTAACTCACATAGTGTGTTCGCACTTCACTGCTAGTACGTCAACTGGGGCTCAAGTTGCTGCTGACGATACAAAATTTTCATCGATTGGATATATGTAGCAATACATTTGTTGCAAATGCGGCGGATTTTTCACCGCCGGTCATATCATCGACTGACTTTTAGAACCAACATACTAAAGACCACCAATAGCTTTGGCCTTGAAAGGTCACAACAATGCATTGGTTTGCTTCGAAAATCAAGTCGAAAAAAACTGCGCCGAAACGAGCCTGGCGTGTAATGAAGCGATCACACACGACAGCAAGCAGGTGGTTTTACACTATACAGACGCCCAGTGCATCCAGGCGTCGCATCGCGATTGGCCGACTGGCTCTTCCGGCCTTTGCACGCCCATGTTTGCAAAACAAAATACTCGTTCATGGAGAACCTCATTCGAAGAAAGGAAAGCTCTTCGGCAAGTGGCAACGGTTGGTATTCCTCAATCTCACTAAGTGCCTCCCTCCCCCTTCCCTCTATCTCACGCATTTGGTAGGAGCGTCGTCTGTCATCTTAACAGCTTCTTATCTTTCCAACCAATTCCTTTGCACCTTTTTATTTCGGTACGTTTTGAATGCGTGCTTCTTTTGGTGAATGGCTGGTCAAAAATGACAAAAAAACTGTCTTTTCAATTCATTTCATTACTGAACTAATGAACGTTCTGGTCACTTTTGATTTTGCTCTTCCTTTGGTAGATAGAAACAAGCCTCGCGCACGTTGCCGAAACTCATCGAGTTTCGACTCTTTTCAAACGCAATTATCCGCTTTCCCAAGCTTTCCATGGGCTGTCAGACGTCAAAGGACGTTCTGCCCATTAGTCCCACTGAACAACGTCTCAGTATGAGTCAGATTTACATTCAAACTACGTCCAAACACTTTGCCCATGAGAATGGTGTCCCGCTCTCAGTAGCCGGTCGACCGGCTACGAGCGACTCGCATCGGGACGTCTTTACCATTTTTGGAGAGCGTGGCATGTCCGTAGAAGTCAATGAAGATGTCGTGTCACCTTCAGCGAGTAATTGCTCACCTGCCAGTCCCAGTGGGAGCGTCTTCTCTACCGCTACAACTGCTTCAGATACAGAGCGGACATTGGTACTACATCGACCTGCAGGTCAATATTTTCCAGACCTTCGAGTGAGTTACGGTATTTATTCAGACACGGGCGTTCGTAAGGACAATGAAGATAGACAGACAAGTACAGCACGAACAATTGGGGACGATCTTGTAGCCTTTTTTGGACTCTATGATGGCCATGGAGGACCTGAAGTTGCCGAATACTTGGCTCAAAACTTTCACGAGAATGTCTTTAATCATCTCGTGAAATCTACAAATGAATTAAAAGCTACAAGGAACTTGAAAACACCAGACACGGTTCTTATGGATGCTGTAAGGACAGCATGTGCAGCTACAGATGAAGAAATTTTCAAACAGCAATTACCAAGTGGGTCCACTGCCGTATCGGTTGTTGTCCGAGGCAATACAGCACTTGTGTCGTCTGTAGGGGATTCACAGGTTGTTTTGTCTACTAATGGAAAAGCCAAGGATATGTGCATTGTACACACACCAGACCTTTCTAGTGAACGAGATCGGATTCTTGCAGCTAAAGGACAGATCTCTAAGGGCAGGATCTATGGTATGCTCGGAGTATCACGTGCCTTTGGAGACATTGATTTTAAGACTGGGCGGGGGGAGTTTAAGAGCCGATTCAATGGAGATTTAGTTTGTGCCACGCCCGATCTCGTGGTCCACACGATTAAGAGCCAGGACGAGTTCATGGTGCTTGGATGCGACGGACTTTTTGACGTCATGGAGCCCCAGGACGTTGTAAATTTTGTGCGCGCCAAGCTGAGTCTACATGGAGATGTACAGCACGTGACAGAGGAGCTCGTGAGCCACGCCATTGCACTCGGGTCAACAGACAACGTCAGCGCCATCATCGTCTGCTTCAACCAGGACGAGCGAGAAGTTGTACCTGTGACGCCCATCGAGGCAGCACAAGCAGCAGAAGCTCAGAAAAAGCGTGCGGCGGCGGTGGCAGTGGGCACTCAGTGTGAGCCACAGCTTGCCTGCGTCCGCTCTACATCGACTTGAGGCTCAAGAAATAGACGACGAGCAGCAGCACCATAGAAAAAGACAACGCTGCTGCAAGTGGGGCAACAATCCCGTGTACTATTAGTAGTTAGGTTATCTGGCCAGACTAGCCATGCAGTATTTACTAATCAAACAATTGTTTGACACCAGATTGGCAAAAGCACTTTATTGGTGGTCTATGTACTAACTTGTCCTGCATGTGCCGAGACATCATGATCAGCTCACAACCATTGGGAAAAAAACCACGCCGCAGGTCTATGCTTCCCACCAAACGTCGGATCGTCTCCTTCAGGAGATTGAATGGCCAGCGTGAGCTCACGCTGCATTGTGACGAATGTTCTCAGGATTGTGATGCCCAGAAACCGTGATGATATTCACAAGTAGCGTGCGTAACGCATCTCGTAAAATGGACGGTTTTATCGTCATCACCATCTCAAGGCGACGTCGCAGCGGCTTCGTGTCCGCTTGCGTTGCCACCGCTCTTTCTTTTAGTCTCTTCAGTTACTTGGCTCGCAAACTTCTTTTCCTCTATGTGCCGACGCTTGCGCTCCTTGGCTTTACGTTTGCACTCATCGACAGAGTGACCCGTATCACGCTTCGCCAAAGGTAAAGCCTTCCGTTTCTTGGACAACGGGAGCAAAGGGCTCACATCCTTCCACTTGACCATACCGCCTTCGTCAGTCAAAAGGTTGCGTTCCCGCATCAGCTGCTCCAGCTTCGGTGCGTAGTGGTCCAAACTTTTCACCACTCGAGCTGCATCTATCTGGAATGCTTCCAGTGCATCGAGATGGCTACGCAGCATCGCCGCTTGCACGCAACGTTGCTCCCATGTCTCTGTAAGCTGAGCATGCACCTGAAGTAAAGCAAGCGGTGTGTACTCAAAGCATGGGCCAGGCTCTTCTGCTTCTTCCGGGTCAGCAAAGTGGCAGTCATGCAGCACAAGTGGTAAGCCAGAGGCCATGTCGTACTGCGGCTTTCGCGGCGTCTGCGCAATATCCAACAGCTGCGGAATAATGCTAGGTTCCTCACTTCCTGAGCCGATGAGGAACAGCACTTCCATCATACAGCGCACCTGATGCCACAGAAATGCACGGCCGAATATCTCACAGCGGTACATTTGCTGGCTCGAATCATCGGCACGCTGTCCTGGACATTCCTCGATCTTGAATGAACCGACACTACGCTCATACACGTGACAATTCGGATCAATGCGGCAGAAGTTGCGGAAATCGTGTTTTCCGACAAGGTACTGTGCAGCTGTGCGCATCTTCTCGATGTTCAAGTCACGCCGCACGAAGAAATAGCGGTACACACGTGCCTTGCAGTCGAATCGAGCACTGAACCCGGGGCGACAAGATGCTACAGAGTACACTCGAATATCGGCCGGCAGTGCACGATTAATATGTGAAGCGTAATCCACTTCCGTGAGTGTCTTGATTTCGCCCGTCGCCAACCGCACCTGAAACTTCTCACCGGGTGGCACATCATCGATTGAAGACGCGCTGAGCAGTTCAGCAGTACCTGGTAAATTAGATCGCACGCGCAGTGCCACAACTTGCCCAAAAGCACTGACACTGCGGTCCGTGCGTCCGCAGCGCGAATATCCAGCATCTTCAATATTTTCGATGAGCTTCGAGCGCACAAGCGCTTCGTATAGATAGCGCTCTACCGTCTCGGGCATGTGGTCCTGGCGTGCAAACCCGGAATACTTCTCCCCAATGTACAAGAACTTGACCGCCACGGCACGAACCACGTAATTGCTCATGTTATACTCGCGCGTCTTCTTTTTATTTTGCTGTGGGTGCACCCCCGCCTGAATACCATCAGGTCCATCAGCCTTCTTTTGCTGTTTCAGCACCTGCTTCTCCTTCTTCGTCTTTTTCCTGCCGTCCATTGGTAAAACCTGTCCTAACTTCTCTAGCGGTAGCCACATCACTTTGGCAACAGCATTATTTACAACCTCTAGCAACAAAGCAACGCATTACAACGGAAAACCACATTAGTGACGGATGTATCATACCCATTGCGAAAATGAATGGCTACGAATTGCCCAGCCAGCCGTACTTGGTCCAACGGAATTACGAAGTTCGTGCAAAATAGCCAAAAGTTGCTCCGGAGTGGCATTATTGGCGTTCAATGTGCTCAAATTTCGTGGCGATAAGGGAGATGACGCCGCCAGTGATGACGCCGCCAGTGATGACGCTGTTGACTCAATTGCGTCCATTGCCATGTGACGGTCACTTTTTTGCTATCACAACTGGATCAGTCCCAACCAATGTAGCCACCTGAGTTAGTCAAGTGTAGCCATGCTTGCGTCGAGATACAAGTTCGGATGTATGACAATGTCTTCATTGGGAACCTGACCTGACAATGCCAAAGTATCTTGATGACACGTAGACACAGTGTTGTATGCAACACTTGATGGGTGTGTTTCATTGAAAAGTGCTTTGCACGCGCTTTGGCAGTGACCCATGGACGCTAGTTGCGTGATAGCCATGGATGTGTGCATCGATAGACCTAGGCGGCGCAATTCGTCCTGCAAGGATACACGACCCCAATGCTTGAACGGACAGCCGTGGTATTGTCCATGACTTGGTGCACTACCAGAAATTATACGCTCGCAATCCAGAGGTGCATAGTGTTTCCGAGAGCCCTCTAGTCCGTAACTGTGACGAATGTGGTACGTGTACTCCTTGTCAAACGTGGCAGCTGGAATCTTCTTGATAAACTCGCTTCGGAAGAATTGAATGCACTCGTGGACTGAGAATCCCGCACCTTTGAGAAACATGCGGTACTGCACACGTCCGTCGTATTTGAGATGATGATTCTCGCGTAACTTTCGATGCAGTTGCTTCATGCACAGCGGAAAGTGCTTCTCCGCAACGTGATCGATCTCTGCCACGTCGAGCTTTGACCTACCAGGTTTCTTTGTTCCTGTCCCTGTTCCGACTAAAACACGAGCTTCTACAACAAAACCATCGAGGATCGGCGTCAACCGTTCCAACTCCAATGGCTGTGCGGGTATGGCGCAGTGCAGGTCACGCATTTGCTCCTCTAGACTCTTTCGAAAGCGATAAACAGATACAAAGTTCATTCTGTGCAGAGGCACCAAGCAGAAACCATTGTGAATAACCACCTCACGATACTTCACCAAGGCAGGTGCATCAGCAAACGGGACACGATAAGTGCCTTGTTGCGTTGTATCAAGCTCATAATTGCTGGCATTTACGAGCTCATACTTGATTCCTTCACTTGAGAGCAATGCAACCGCTGCAAAAGGTGGTAACTTTCCAAGACGAATCGTTTGAAGTTTTTCTTCGGCCGTAACCAACCACTTCCAACCATTTGAACCTCGGTGCCTTTGCACACAACGATAAAAAATAAAATCAACTTGTTGTATTAGATAATCTACATAGCAATACGAATTGCACGAATGAAGTACCTGCAAAACGCAAGGCGTAGAGCATAATGTGACAATCGATCAGCGTTGGAATTTGGTACAAGCTGTTGAAATTCTACAATATCGTCCATGAGATTGTTTTGCACTTTTTTAAGTATCGAATCGAAGCGCCATTGAGAGTCAACGTAGCTCAACAACTTTAGACGTTTGTATCCTAATGCAGCAAAATCATCTAAAGCTACGCGTTGCTGCGGAGCGGAGCGATAAAAACTTAGCAAACTGACTGCTGGAGTTGACGACATTGTTTTGCTTGAAATTATTTTTTGTACTGAAGTTTTACTAACCAAAGTGTCGGTTAATTTAAGCCTTTTGGTATTAAAAAGCAAACATCCGAAAGTTGACAGTCAGTCTCAAGGAAGCACCCAATCGCAATGCTCAATATCCCCGTAATAGACCTCAAGCACTACAAGGTCACAGGTGACAAGGGCGAGTGCAATAAAGCTGCCGAATCGCTCTACAATTTTGGTGTTTTTTGTGTTCGTGATGAGGTAAAACGAAAACTTTCTTAATGTTTCGATCTAAAAAAAAACTGAACGGATTCCTCATGCATCTCTAAAGCGAGCAGCGGATAGTGACAATGACACGTTCTTGGACATGATGGAGCGATACTTTGAATCGACGGACTTTGTGGAAGACGCACGGCCGGAATATCACTACCAGGTGGGCGTGACACCCGAGCGTAAGGAACGTGCTCGCAATCACTGCGCTCGTGCTGCGACGCTGGATAAGCGCTTCGCTCCAGTGTCTCTATGTCCTCCTGAGGCGGACAAGAAGAGTCGCTTCTTTTGGCGGATTGGTGAACGCCCTGTGGTGAGTAAAATAGAAGCTTTGAAAATAATAAGAGTGCTCATGACTGAGGTGAACACCCTTGCTGAATTTTTGTCCAGAATACCAAGTTTGACGAGTTAAATGCGGAACCTGTGATCCCCAAGACATTTCCTGAATGGGAGAATGTTATGAACATGTGGGGTGGTAAGATGCTTGACACTGTTTCGGACCTTATGGAGATGATTGCCCTCGGACTCGGTCTGGAGAAAGATTCACTGAAAAAATGTATCAAATACGGCCCGCATTTGCTGGCACCTACGGGCAGTAATTTCAACGTGTTCAACAAGTTAAACGACGTTCTTGCGGCGTACCATTACGGTACGTTCAGAACGTGTAAACATCTTTATGAGTTGTGCAAGGAAACTCACGTTTCATGTGCATGATGCTACAGATCTAAACCTACTGACGATCCATGGCAAGTCTCGTTTTCCGGGACTGTACATTTGGCTTCGGGATGGTACACGTACGGCTGTGAAAGTTCCTGACGGCTGTTTGCTCGTTCAGGCGGGCAAGCAGATGGAGTATCTGACTGGCGGGTACGTTCAAGCGGGCTTCCATGAAGTTGTGGTAGCGGACACGACCCTCGAGACGATTGCGCAGCGCAAGAATGCTGGCAAGAGCCTTTGGCGTGTGTCGTCTACTCTTTTCTCGCACACAGCATCCGATAAGACACTGGAACCGTTGGGACACTTTGCAACACCCGAGGCTGTAGAGAAGTATCCGCCTATTCTTGCGGGCGACCAAGTCCTGGAAGAGCTCTCACAAATTGAACTTGGCAATGGCGTTAACCTCCATGGTAAGTAGGATTTTCAGTCGAGTACTACGAATTTTTTCATCTGTCTCCTTTTTACGATGCGTAGCACCTATGTCTGCACAATGGATACGAAAAATGTAGACATGGTGATTTAGCGCTGGTTTGCATAGCAACTTCTACCAATACTGGAAATACGACGTCTTGATGGCGGCAAAGACTAGAGAAACTTCAAAGCACTTGCCTTGGACCGTGCTCTGCCTTCAATATGTACACAGCACAACAAAAGACTACTACCGCACAGCATTTTTGTTTCTCAAGAAGTCGCTACAGAAATTTGCAGAGGAAGATAAAGCTAATGGAATAACTTATGAAGTCAACCACTTCTTCAATATATCGAACTTGGTGGTGTTGAGTGCATGCTGATCGCCTTCCATGCTAGCTGTTCATATTTACATAGCTCGTGCAATGGCAGATTTTCATAGTATCAGTCAGAGAACTTAACATGAAGCAGCCCGTCAAACCCAGTAATCTTTTTGGAATTTGTGCATTGGTCGTGCTTTTCAACACTTTCGTCCGCTAGAATCGGAAGACAGCAAAGACAACTACCCTTGACTTGATACACATCGGGCTTCTTTCAATCACTTCATGAGTCTTTGCGTATAACACACTTAGTCACTCTAAGACTATTATATTAGCTACGAGGGTGTGCTCTACTATGGAATGTTGGGCCGACAAACTGTTGGAAAAAGTATGCAGCAACTGTCTTCAACTCTCGTCGACCTCGACTCACTTTCGACTCTTTGATGCTCTCTTATCTTCGTTTCGTTGATACTTTCTTGGCTGGATAACGACAATGATCTTTTCTTAGAAAGTATGCAGTACCACGCGAAATACCGAATGAACGATCAATTGGAACTACGCCTATCGAACCAAAGTAATAACCAAGCTAATTGAAACACATCTAGCCGACGCGAATCCTCCCTCTGTTTCCACTCCTCGTCCAGAGCACAAGCGGTTGGAGATCAAGTCACATGTGTGCTTTTAATGGATCCAGCAATCTCCATTGATACCAGTCAGTCGTGTAGGGGTTTGAAGTTAATGACGCTGAACGATGCTGTGTGCTTACGTTAGGCGCATCGATTAGGTACCTGTTAGCTTTCATCGAGGCTTACGAAGCAGGAGAAAACATCTGGGGGCCTATCTTGCTCCTCAGGTAAGCAACAAAACCCTTGCTTGACTCAATTTGTTCCAGTATTCACCACGCTCGTCAAAATTACCGCTGGCGTCGTACGTATCAACGTCCAGCTGGCTGCCCTCCATTGAGATTCCTTAAAGAAGAAAAAGAAGAAAAGCAGTAATCATGTAGTTTCTCCATTGAAGACTGACGCATTCGTGATCCGCTCAAGCATCCTGGATACGGACGGCTCTGGACCTTCTCCCCATCTCGAGCAAGAAAATCAGTCCGTTAAGAAGCGTCGATTACAACGCATTATCTTCTTTTTTGGGGAATTTATCTCAGTGCTATTTGTAATACGTATGATACAGGCTCTCGCTGTTGACGTTACTCAATAATGCAGCGCACGTTGAGTTGGGGTTACTGTCGAATTACGTTATCATGTTCTGAAACGCTTTTCCGAACTCATCATTTTTTCTTGCAGTAGTGGATGCTGCACCAATCGCTTTGATGTCGGATAAGCCGACAGTGCGCTCGGCGTGTGCTAGCTTTGCTGTCATTTAGAAGCTGAAAGGACTTTGCGTGTTTGATCATCTTGTTCATTCACGAGGATATTTCAGATACTCAACAATGAGGTCAACACTGAAAGGGGACAAAGTGTGCTTTGCGACAACATGCGACCCCTTGCTTCACCGATTGTTTTCTCAATTCGCTCGTGGAATCACGGCAACAAATGTTGATCTACAAGGCTATGGCCCAAGAGACAAACTCTGATTTAGCGGCGGCTGCGACCAAAAGAAGTTACATTGCTTTGCTAGAGGACTGCCGGATGATGACAGTCCTCTTGCAGAGCAATGAAAAGCCCAGGGTGCCCGTAGCCTAAGGTACACTACCTTACCAACATATTATTCTTCTAGATATCGAGCACAGGAATCTCAACTGCTAAGAGCAACAAAAGTGCTAATGTAGCGCTACTGAACTGTCTTGGCAGATTATCATGTAGCTGTCCAAAACACACACAGACAACGACTTAAAGCTCCAGTTGCAATGTATCTTTGGGTATCGCTCAAGGTGGTGCGTAAGATCAAACACGAGAGAGAGAAATGCAAACTCGTAAAAGTTGTTGAGGTCGGAAGTAGCAGGAATGCCTTAGGTTTTGATCTATGGGGGTGTTGTTTTAGCTATATCGGTGGTTGCTAACTGCCTCACATGTACTCGATCGGAAGAAGGAGATTTACATACAGGATGCGATGCGGTCACGGACGCGCACGGCTAAGGGTCCTTTTACCGGCAGTACAAAAGAGAAGTCGTATGTGATCTTGAAAGGGTCCTCCAATGTTTCAATATCGAAGCGACTGAAAAGCACAGCCATGACAGTCTTCATTTCAAGCATGGCAAGACGCATTCCAATGCACTTGCGCGGTCCCGTGCTGAAAGAGATGAATTGTGGTGGTGCGATATTTTTGGGCTCTCCGGTTGTTTCGTCTAACCAGCGCTCGGGTCTGTATTCAGCGGCATCGTCCCCCCATACATTTTTGCGTCGGGCAGCAGCGTACTTGGACACGACCACCACTGTGCCTTTCTTAATGAATGCACCATCCGTAAGCGTCGTATCTCGAGTCGTGTATCGATATGTGGAAACGGACTGCAAACGCACACTTTCTTTCACTGCTGCATCCAAGTATACGAGTTTGTGCGTGTCCTCGAGAGTTGGTGCATCCGTCTCTCCAGTTAAAAGGCCCGGTAACACTGATCGGATCTCTTCGCGAATCTTTTCTAGAACACGAGGGTACCGATTCATCATCACAATGAGCCACGATAAGCTAAAAGATGTCGTGTCCTTCCCAGCGATAAAGAAATTGACAGCCGTGTCCTGAAGCTCGCGCGGCTTTGCGTTCGGATTGCTTGTCATCAACAACGTCAGCAAACTTTTCTTCTCATCTCCTCGTGTTTTCTCGCTCACAGATCGCAACATAATGTTTCGCACCATGTCATTGACGATTTTCATGCTGTCTCGGAGACGCTTTTCAGGGCCGACGTTAAGGAATCGCGCAAGCTTCCACATCCACATTGGAGTCTGGAAACGGTTCTGCACAGCGTGTAGGGCAATGTCCAGCGGATGCATCTCGTCAACAAGAACGTCTCCACCAAGTTGGTTGAGCTCTACGCCGAAACCAATGCGTGTGAAAACATCGCTAGTGAACTTGCCTAGTAGTGGCTTCATACTAACAATCTGATCACGACCGGCACATTGTGCAAGGACGTCTCGAAGCTGCAGTGTTTTTTCGCGGATCACCGGCTCCATAACTTGACGAATGCTCTTTGTCGAGAAGAGATGACTGGCAGCTCGACGTTGCTGCTTCCACTTGTCCCCATTGACGTTGAGTAACCCATTGCCCAATACATCGAACGAGATGTCTCCAAGGACTCCGCTCTTTTCAAACACATCGAAACTATCCACAAACACGTCGTTGAGGTCGTTGGGCATGGAGAGCACAACCCAGGGTGGTTGAAACATCAATTGAAGGATCCACGGCTGACCTCCACTTGCGTCAGTCTGGTCGTTAATCCAGTCACTCATCCGATAGCGAGAGCGCATCACATCCAAAGTGTTGCCCAGGATCGGCAATGTCGAAGCAGGGCGGAAGAGGTTTTCCATGCCTGGATCCGGCGATGGAACGGGTAGGTTTAAGAGCTTCCACGATACGTAGCAAGCGGTTAATGTGCCGAGTGCGAGCAGGACAGACTGCTGAGCTCCGTCGTGACTTGCGCTTGACCACATTGTAGTGCCAAAGGAATTGAGAATTGATTGAGCTACTTGTGCTGACCAAAGAGCAAATGAAACAATGACAACATGAAGTATGAGAGCTGGTGAGCCAAGTCCGTTTGATCTGTTGGTCGTGAGGACACAAGGCGAGAAATAACGGAAGATTTTCTTGCATGATTGCACTAGCATGAACAAGTACTTTGCACCGTTGAATGCACCAGGAAGCGCATCAAAAAAAAGCTGCAAGTTGAGTCGCGCATTGTGCGTGTCATATCAAGAGTGGGAGGAGCCTCTCCGGAAGTTTCCAAGAAGATGTTTCGGTAAAGTCCTCGTAAGAAGCTCTTTTCGACGTAGCGACGACTCTGTATGTTTTTTACTTATGGCACGAGGAATGTCGGTGTTCGACACGAACGCGGCCTTGTCAGTGAGAGGCAAGACATTTAGTTAATCATATAATATCGATGTCAAGAGAGGCTTTGCATATTTGCACCAGAGTGATGCAAAGTTAGGACGAAGCGAAAACAAGTGCTGATGACACCGAGAGCTAAATCAAGAAGGTCTCTATCGCATGATATAACTTTACTGTGACGGAAACAAGCAGAAATGCTAATATCTGCCCAAGTAAGCGGGAGATGTCACCGGCCAAGTGCTCGGACTGACGACAAGAGTGTTTTGAGGAAATTATTATCAAGTGTTGTGCTCTAACTTATGAGCATGACGTCCCAGACATTTACGATGCTGCGCATGGCAAATGTCGCGCAGCATAATAAATGTCAATGGCTCGAATTGTAATGGCACTTGAAAGCGTAGAGCGAGATGTCGCAGCATGGTCATCGTCTGGGATGTCTCGCTCCATGCCAGCTATTGCAATTTCAGTCGAGCCATTACAGTAGCTGGCAAAGCGGCATACGGAGTCAGTGTGCTGAAGACGAACCGTACTCGGCTAAAGGGGGCATTTAAACTGCTCCAAGCTTCGCTGAGCACCTCATCACCTTCAATCACATCAGCGCTGTCTCTGACAAGAATCGAATTATGTAAATTGTCTGCACCTTGAGCACTGACGAAATGCTTGCACTCCTCGACGGCAGCTTGTCGGTATGAACATCCAGAAGCCGGGGACATTGCACCCGGTGCATCGTCAAGCTAGTAATGTTGACTGTGAACTATGCTAAGCAGTACCATACTGCTTAGCACAGTTCACTGTCAACATTACTGCCAGTACCTAATTATCCTCTATAAGTTTTGTGACGTCGCAGCACAAATGCTTAACCAAACAGATCAGTACGAGATTTTCCTGAAGCTATGCCATCACCAATGGGTACGTGCGTACATATTATCGAGCAAGTCATATAAAACGTCAATAAACACGAACAAGTCTTGGGTAACGGAACAGGACAGACAGGACGACGCTGGACAACGGAGCAGGACAAACAGGACGAATAGGACGACGCAGGACGAATAGGACGACGCAGGACGAATAGGACGACGCACTCTAACTTGACATACCGATAAACATCTGTTTGACCCGTCTTTGTCCCCATTCATGCTTCAATGTCAGGTTTTCTCTTGATTTCCGTATTGCGTCGGTCAACATCCTATCTTGCGTTTGGATTTCAATATTCCCATCACCCTGCAAACAGTTTAGTCTCGCAAAAAGAGACAAGAAAGACTGGGTTATTTACAGCATACCAAGGAATACCTGTCGCCATCTCACCTCAATAACTCAAAAAACCCAATTCTGAACAGCTCCGTTCCTCGCCTTTGCCATTTCACAATTTCCCGAGTCTCTGATGTTGCGTCTCCCGGGTCTCCTGACACGCCACTGCTTCATTCCAGTAAAGCAAACCACTGTACTTCTTCCAAAGGCACTTTTCTCATCAGTATCATCCCTTGAAACTTTAGCGGTGCAGTCCATGGCCACGGCCTTCCGTCAATCCGGTCATCTACAGGCTGATCTGGATCCATTGCAGCTTCAGTCACGCTCCGCTGTTGCCAGTCTCACTGCAGCCAACTTCCAGCCATTGCTGGATCGTCCTCTTTCTACTGCAGACTTGGCTCGAGTCGTGTCCGTATCAGCGGCCAATGGACAGCAACTCTATGATGAACTACATCGTGTCTATTGCAGTAAAATTGGCTTTGAATTCGAACATTTGACGTCAATGGAGGAGAAAAAGTGGTTGGCCAATGCAGCTGAGACATTATCAAGTATAGAAGTATCTCCTTCGGATCTACGTAATTCCTACTACAGTATGATGCGTGCTGATGTGTTTGAGACCTTTATGGCCAAGAAGTTTGCGTCCTTCAAGAGATATTCAGGTGAAGGAGCAGAATCCATGCTCCCAGCAGTCGAAACAGTGCTCCAAGCTTGCACGATGTCAGGTGTCACGGATGTTGTGATTGGCATGCCACACCGTGGACGCCTAGCACTGCTAGTTGGACCACTGGAATATCCGGTGCATCGAATCTTCCACAAGGTCCGTGGAAACTCAGAGTTTCCTAACAATTTTCGTGGTATTGATGACGTTTCGTCGCACATTGCCACGACAATTGACAAGAAGTATGCAGACAAGCAGGTGCATGTGTCGCTCGTGCATAATCCTTCGCACCTGGAGATCATCAATGCGGTAGTCGCAGGAAAAGTACGTGCCAAGAACGATGGTGATACCAATACAAACGCAATGGCGTTGCTGCTGCACGGTGACGCGGCATTTGCTGGACAAGGGTGTGTTCCGGAAGCCTTAGCGCTTTCGCAACTACCCGACTTCCAGGTTGGCGGATCAGTGCACATTGTGGTTAACAATCAGGTGGGTTATACGACCACGTACCCCGATGCACGTGCTACACGCTATGCTTCGGATGTTGTAAAGAGCATCGAAGCACCGGTGTTGCACGTCAATGGTGAAAGCATGATCGACGTGATTCGTGCATGTCGTCTTGCTGTAGCGTATCGTAACCATTTTCATAAGGATATTGTCATCGATTTGATAACGTTCCGCCGTCATGGACACAACGAGGTAGATGAGCCGCGCTTCACGCAGCCCAAGATGTACGAACGTGTTGATCAGGCTGAGCGATTCCCAATCAAATTTGCCCACGAGCTGGAAGAAAGTGGCCTCGTCTCGCGCACCACTTTCGAAAAGACTGTCGAAATCTTGAACGAGCACCTTGAAAGCGAGCTCAAACTCGTCACTGTTGAACCTATTTACGTGCCCACGGAGATCGATGCGTTCAAGGGCAAGTGGGCAACTATGGCGCAGCCAAATCCTGAAGATCTGTACGCTAACGATGCAACTGGTGTTGATATCGACAACCTCATTCAAGTCGGTCTTGCATCCGTAGAGCTTCCCGATCGTATTCAACCTCACAGCCGTCTGCAGCGCACGCATATTAAATCGCGGCAAAAAAAATTGCTGCAAGTGAAGGACGACCAAAATCCTGAGGATGTGCGTGTCGACTGGGCCACAGCTGAAGCTATGGCGTTCGGCACGCTGATGCAAGACGGTCACTCGATACGTCTTTCCGGGCAAGACTGCCGCCGCGGCACTTTCAGTCAAAGGCACGCCTCGTTCACGGACCAGGAAACCGAGGAGCGTTATTTCCCGCTACAGCACCACTTGCCCAAGAAGTCTGATACCGTTGGTAAGCTGAGTGTTGTCAACAGCAATCTGTCAGAGCTTGCTGTCATGGGGTATGAGTATGGCTACTCAGTGGAGAGCCCTAACAATCTCGTAATCTGGGAAGCGCAGTTTGGTGACTTCTTCAATGGTGCCCAGATCGTCATTGATCAACTCTTGTCGAGTGCAGAATCAAAGTGGATGCGTCAGTCGGGTCTCATGCTGTTACTGCCTCACGGCAACGATGGAGCTGGTCCTGATCACTCTAGCGGTCGGGTTGAGCGCTTCTTGCAATTGGTTGACACTCCAGCACTGACCCCGCGCTCGTCTGTAGATAAATCGGACACGGAGCCCGTGTGGAAGCAGTTCCAACACGACGCCAACATGATTGTGGTAAATGTGACTACACCGGCCAATTTCTTCCACCTGCTTCGTCGTCAACAGCAGCGTACATTCCGCAAACCCGTAGTCGTTATGGGACCCAAAATGCTGCTACGCCTTGCCGATGCAACATCTCCACTGTCCGAGATGGGACCAAGCACCACGTTCCAGCCAGTTCTTTCAGACCCAACAATCACAAACGCCTCGCAGGTCAAGAAGGTCTACTTCTGTTCGGGCAAGTTCTACTATGAGCTTGCAAAGGAGCGTCTCGCACGCAGCGAGAATCCTGAGACGATTGCGCTTGTCCGTTTAGAAGAGCTGGCGCCGTTTCCCTTCGAGCAGGTTACCGACGAACTCGCGAAGTTCAAGAAAGCCAAGAAGTTTGTCTGGGTTCAAGAAGAGCCAATCAACCAGGGTGCCTGGACGTACGCCCAGGCTCACATTGAGAAGTTGCTGGGCAAGAAGCAGCACCTTGAGTACATTGGCCGGGAAACCCTTGCGGCTCCGGCCGTCGGCTTGTCCAAGCGCTCACATGAGCAGCTACAGGTGGTGTTGACCGAAGCATTTGGTCCACCAAAGTAGACGAGCAGACAACGAACGCTAGACGATACAAGTGGACGGTCAGATGTCCATTTACACACAACACAATTTGAATGACGAGCTTCATTCGATATGAGGATTTTAGCATCATGAACCAAACAATGCGTATGTGTAGATTACTCAGGATAAGCAAATGAAGAGATAACGATGCTACGATAGTTGCTACCATTTACGGTTCGCTGTAGACGATGGCAGAGGCGTAGCTCACGGAAGAGTCGCCGCGACGCATGCATGCGCTGCTCTGCGCATACTTGACAAACTTTAGTCTGCACTTCAGCTTTTGTGAGGCTAAGATGCTGTGCAACAGCAACGAAATCGGGTGACGACCACATATCGTATTGTGTGTTTCATCCAGGTACTTGGTAAACCCTTCAGCGTCCAAGCGCTCAATGAACTGTATTCAAAACAGAGCGAAGGTCAGCCTCTGAAACGAACTCGTAACTGCACAGAGTATTGATCACGTACACCCATGCCTTGATGATCTAAATATTTGATGTATTCATGGATCTCGCCGTACGTAGAGTCATGCGGCTGGTACCGAAATCTAAAAGTAATCGAGGGAGCACAAGAATTTCAGTCTATCGTTCAGCTATCCAAACATTACTTACTGTATTGACTACTAGCTTACCGTGGGCCCCAATGGCAAAAGTCAGAGCTGATCACGAACAGGTTTTCGTCATTCTCCAGATAGGGAGCTAAAATTCTACAAACCCACAACAACAACGAATGCATCAGCAACCTTCTTAGCTACAATGCTTTTCATATCAACAATAAACCTCATCTAATGTCATACTTTCCGTATTCCTCGTCCAATTTACTCTTGGTATTACCAACCAAGATCGGGATCGCTGTGAATTTACGGCCATTCATCACCTACAAAAATATACAAAGCACAGCATCAATCCAGTCAGCAAGAAAACACAATGTACCGTATTCTCATTATCTACGAAATGACTTACCTTATAAATGAACGGAAGATGCATTTCGATGCTGTGTTCATCCTCATCAACATCCATCGACATGGTCGCAAATTTTCCCTATACCCCTCAAAGTATCTAACATCAGTACAATCCTTTCAAGTTCGCCAACTCTCAACCTACCGAATCCACAAGTTTCTCATTAACTTGACGATCAATTATAATGTTGCCTAATGGTGTTTCATATTCATGAGCAGTCGATACAGCACATCCACTACATATCTCAATATCACCATAAACAAATAAAATCAGTATCGACTGATCGATCGATCAGCTCACTTCCATTTTTGGATATCACTTGCCGTAGATAGAAGTGATGTGATGGTCCAAGGATAAATACACGCTTAATACGATCCAAATTCAATAATTGATGGTACGCGTACGCAGCTGTAGGGCCCGAGTATCTGCAGGAACGACAAAAACCGTCAGCTCTCTTCGTAGCAAAAAAGTCCACCCCCTCCCCCTTCTCTCTCTTGCTGCGTACCGGAAACCTGCATGAGGTCCGATGATTGCACGGATACTTGGCTGTTTTTGCTGCGTCTTGTCGTCTTGTGCTGCACTTAACCAGCCTGAAAAATGATGATCGTCCGTTCGATTGTGAGGTTAAGAGGTCTTTTTTGTTTGTATACGGTAAATAAATTGGGTGCGACGCACCTGTGAGTTCGTCATTGAGTTCATGTTCGTCATGCGAGTACCAAGAACCGGCGTGGGTGGATAATCGGACGCGTACGGAGCTTGGTTCGGGCTTTTTCGACATTATTAATTGGTTAAGATTATGTTTTTGATGGAAGAAATGAGAATAATCTACTGATCTGGAGGATTTGGAGCTCGTTTGTTTGAAGTCGAAATTGGATGATAAAGGTGTAGGAATGCGAGGGATTTGCAATTCGGTTGGTCAAGGATTTGGCGCGATGTTTCGATTAGCGCCATCCGTTTTGGTAGGGGTCAGAGCAGCTGCCTTGGCAAGATGAGTGGTGTGGTCAGCTTTGGAGAACACAGCAGGTAAAGAGAAGACATCAAATTTGAATACAAAATCCTGTTGTCTATCCACTGCCACACGCATAAAAGCCTACAGGTTATGAGCCCAGTGCAGGAGCTACCGAGCAACTGCATAGACACAGGCAAAGTCGCACGAGCTGCACCAGGAAGCGGCTTGTCAGCGCGCGTTCCGTCCCGGTCTCCGCGCCCGCAGTCGTCGATGTCCCACCCTCTCACGAAAGGAGCGAGGCGACTGACGACAAGATTCTCGCGGCCCTGGACGCCGTGATCAATTGCCTGTCAAATTGGAGTCTTCACAGCGCGTTCGCAACGAAGACGAGCGGATTCTCGGCGCGGTTAAGAGCGATATGTTCGCCTCAGTGATTAGGGCGAAGACGCGCGGCCGATTGATGACGATCGACGCGCTCGGCTCGTCCGAGCAGAAGCCAGCGGTCCCGCATACGGGCGTACGCACAGTCGACGCTGTCGTCTCGATGTTTGCATCACTGGCACTGACGCGTGAGCCAGTGCCGCCTCAGCATCGGCTCCCTCGCCCGCGCCGCTTCAGGATGCAGCGGCTCCTGCGACGTACGCCGCGGTAGGGAGCGAGTACTACGAGATGCCGAGCGCGAGTCAGCGCAAGCTGTCGGTTCGGGAGTATGACGGGACCGAGCTGTACAAGGATGTCGGTAGCGGATTCTACGACTGGGAACGTGCCTTCTTGCGCGCAGTGAACCTCGCAGAGGCGTCGTGCGGCTTCGCGTGGATGAAAGACGTCAAGGTCGATCTTCTTGGCCACTTCCTGGTCGGTACCGCGGAGGTACTACCACAAACAGGTGGACGCTTGGTGGGTCCAACAGCCGACGCTCGAGCACGTGATGACGCAGCTCTACGCGACATTCAAGACGACGATCACAGCAAGTCAGGCAATGAAGCTGTTTATGCAAAAGAAGGACGCAAATTGTACCCGGAACGACCACTTCCTGTACTTAGTCGCGGCCAGCGACGCTCGCCGTGGCGTAGAATCGCTTGTGCTCGACAACATAGTTCGCCACGCGTCGCCGGAGCTGATGAATGTCATGCGCGCGAAGTACGAGAGTCGACTACTTGCGGCACGCAGAGGAACTCGCGCACTTCGCTCAGTCTATTGAGCTCGGCAGCGGCGCATTCGGACGCGATTTCGTTGCGACTCACGTTAAGGCGAAGCGCCTGAACAAGTGAACGTGTTTCCGGTGCGGCAGGAAGGGACACGTCGTAGCCGAATGCAAGGCGAGGGTCGTGCACGACGACGAATCGGGCGACGCGAACGGCGGGAGCAACATGGTGCGTGCACTGACGGAGGTCGCAAAAACGCAAGGGCAAGAAGAAGAAGAGCTCGCGCGGAAAAATTTCTGATGCGAGCGGCACGGACCACAAGGCGTCGGCTGCAGGCGGCGCGATCGGCTTTGCGCTCGCAGCGAACGACGCTGTCGGTATCGAACGAGGCGATCTGATCCTCGATAGCAGAGCTAGTCGGCATCTAGTAAGCAACGAGTCACTGTTTTCAGCTTGACAGCTTGCAGCCATCAAATTGCCATGGCCGACGGAAAGACGCTGCAATTGACGCGCGCGGAAGCGTGCATATCAAGGTCCTCGGCGCGTGGCGACGGTGACACTCACGGAAGTGTACCTCGCGCCGTGTCTGGCAAAGAACATCGTGTCCTATAGAAAGCTGAAAAGCAAAGCTTCTATCTCTTGTACGACGGTGACAAGCGCGCGCTGGCTCGACGGAGCGAGGGCGCAGTCACGTTCGACGTCGCGATTAACAGCAACGTGCTGTACGTCGAGACGATGGGGGCGCGAGGGAGGCACAGAGCTGGCGACGCCATCATGGCTGATTTCGAAGTGCACGCGATTGAAACGGATGCATTCGCGGTGCAAGAAGGCATGTTTTTGCACTTCCACCAGCGACTAGGTCACCTTGCATTTGACACAATCGAGCGCATGTCCCGTGGTCTCGCATCCAAAATCCGATTTACCAGCAACAAGCGCATGGAATGTGTGTCGTGCCTCGAGGGCAAGCAGACGCGCAACGCACAGCCACATCGGGACAGCAGCGCCGACTCGCCCATCAACAGGATCGGCGGCGTCATCTGATTAGACCTCAAGGGACCGACGACGCCGCGGTATCGACTAAGCAATCGATACCTGGTCAGCTTCGTTGACCTCAACTCGAACTTCTACCGCGTGTTTTTCGTGCGCACGAAGGACACGGCGGAAAGGCAGATGAGAGTTTCACCGCCCACTTCGAAAAGCTCTTCGGCTTCAAGGTCACGTGTTGAGCACCGATGGGGGCGGCAAGTATGCCAAAGTGGACCTCTTTTGCAAGTGGATAGGCTTCGCGCGGCAAAGGAGCGAGGCGACGAACTAGGCTTCGAACGGCAAGGACGAAAATATGCACAGGACTGTGGTAAAGCGATCCGGAGGTCTGAAATGGATCGATCAAGTGAACACTGTTGACAAAATCCCGCTCTCGTATTGGCCAATAAGCTGTACGATACGGTTGGAAGAGGGGTCAACAGGATCAGGAACACAAAATTCCGATAAAGGTATATCGGGTGTGGGCCACACACCACAGTCACATTCTGACAAATCCGGATCGACGGAACGACGGACCGACAGATCGACAAATCCGGATCGACGGAACGACGGACCGACAGATCGACAAATCCGGATCGACAAATCCGGATTGACGGATTGACGGATCGACAGATCAGTAACCTCGATCCGAAATGTGGATCGCGATACGTAACCAGTTACGGATCGATCCGTAACCTCGATCTGAAATCCGGATCGACGAGATCACGACGGCAGCTAACGTGGACCACATAGCGAAATCTGATTTATTTTCAAGAAGGCGACGCGTGGCAGTAGGTCCTGAGCTACAGATAGGCAAGATCATAGGTTTTGGTATTTGATTGGTTAACATTAAACAGAGTTCAATTTGCTTTAAAATACACGTGTCGACTTCTCTATTCCGGGCAGGATATTTGGCCTCCCGACGCCTAGAATATCAATTACAAGTGCACCCTAGATTGTTTTGGCCAGGCGAAGGAAATCTCAACACAGAAAATCAACTGCGATCGGAAGCAGGAATAGCAAGTAAAGGCAAGGCAAGCAAGCGCAGGACGGATCAAGTGGTCAGAAGGTTCTTGTAATGGGCTACATTACATAGTATTAATATGAATAAACAATTACATATGTAGGCAGGTGCTGGGCCCGAATAGCGGGCACAGCTTGGTAATTTATTATTGGTTTATTATTGGGCCTAAAGTCCCCAATATGGACCAATGATAAATCAACCTGAAATTGTGTGGTTCCCGAAAGGCGGGAACACTATCGTATTTATTACGACTAAAATCTTCGTAATTAGTACGAATTAAAACCAAGATAAAAATCAGAGTTAAATTTACTTAATACCTAATACCTGGGCTTGAGTCTTCCTCAAGCGCACGTGTAAGCTAGTGACGGTACGTTCTAGCCCCTTTACACCTGGTAGCACTTTGTAGTCCTTCCTATGCCCGAGTTTGGGATGAGCGAATCGTCGTACTTTGACGCTCCAGATTTATTTCTGGAGCACGCGACCTTCCCCCATCTTACTGGTGTTGAGTGGGATGCCCTTAATCGCCTCGCGGCGATATCGGGAGAGGCATTCGTCGCGTCGCTGATGAGATCAACGACCCCTGACGCGCAACGTCTCGCCATACATGAGTTTATGGCACGCGAGCTCGCCGAATCCAACCGGCGAGGCTTAACTCCCTCGCGCCCTTCACGTAATGAGGCCGTGAAGATGGAAACCTCCTCCTACTCTGGAGAAGGTAAGGACCGGTTATCGCTGAATCGGTGGTTCCGAGAAGTTGATATCGCCATCGCCTCGAGACTTCTTAAGGCTCCACAGGCGAAGGTCAACTTTCTTCTTTCCCGCCTCACCGGGAAGGCCAAGGAGTGGGCCCTTGGTAAACTCGTTGTGGACGAGCACGCATTCCCCACCTTGGATACCATCCAGGACGATCTCCGTCTTGCCTTCGAGCCACCACAAGAGGAGAAACTGGTGCGATCAAGATTCCTGTCGATGCGACAGGGTAAAATGGCGATGCGCGACTACGTACAGATGGCTAGGCATCTGGCGTCGTGTATTATCACGCACCCCATGGACATGTACACGCAGGTGAATGTCTTTGTGGATGGAATGCGTGAGGGGCAGACCCGCTTATCGCTGGAGCGCGCCGAGCCTGCCACATTGGAGGAGGCATTTGCCATCGCACTCCGTGAAGACTTTAGGGTCACAAAGGCATATGCCAAACCCTCGGTCGTCACCGTTCCCCGGCCTTCTGGTTCAGAACCTATGGAAATCGACGTGATTGAGTCGTCGGATGACCGGCGACGTGTCTTTCATCATAAAGTTGACGCTCGCACCGGGCGTCCAATGGTTTGCTTTCGTTGTCGCAAGCCAGGACATCGCGCGGTAGAGTGCCGTGCGCCAGCCCCATTATCGGTGCAAGTAGTGGACGCCCATCATGAGGGTGCTGTACCGGCCGCACGTCCAAAAAAACGGTCGGGACCAGTAGGTGCAGGGCGCCCTACTGGTTGGAACGGAGGTCCGGGTCCCCCGGTGGCAGCCCAACCTTCCAGTCCTCCTGCGCTACGCGCGCGGTTAAATGCCACCACTACGAGTGGTGATTCACGTCTGATTATTGTCAGTTTACATGTCGCCGGCGTCCGGCGACCTCTGCGAGCACT